TTCGTATTTCTTCTATGAAGTGCCTGTTCAGTTGTTGTTGTTGTTGTTATTTTGTCTTTTTGTGGGGTTTTTTCCCATTTATTGATTGGGTTATTTGTGGGTTTTGTTGTTTTGTTTGTTTGTTTGTTTTGGTGTTAAGTTTTTTGAGTTCTTTGCATATCCTGGAGATTAATGCGTCTGAGATGCTGGTGGTAAAAATTTCCCTCATGCTGTTGGCTCTCTGTTCACATTATTGTTTCCTGTGCTGTGAAGAAGTTTTTAGTTTGATACCTTCCCATTTATTGATTCTTGATTTACTTCTTGCTCTTTAGGAGTATGTTGAGAATATCAATTTCTAAGCCAACGTGATGAAGACCTGGGCCTACATTTTCTTTGAGTAGGTTCAGGGGCTCTGGTCTAATGCCTAGGTCCTTGATCCACTTTGAGTTGAATTTTGTGCAGGGTAAAAAACAGGGGTTCAATTTCATTCTAGTACATATGAATTTCCAGTTTTCCCAGCACCACGTGTTGAAGAGGCTATCTTTCTGCTAATGTATGTGTATGTTGCCTTTGTTCAGTATGAGATATGGTTTTTCTCTGTGTATTCTATTCAATTCTTCTGGTCTTCTTGCCTGTTTCGGTGCCAGAAGTATCCTGTTTTTGTTAGTGTGGCTCTGTAGTACAATTTAAGGTCTGGTATTGTGATGCCTCCTGCTTCACTTTTCTCGCTAAAGACTGCTTTGAGTATTCTGAGTCTTTTATTTTTCCAAATGAATTTCAGGAATGCTTTTTCTATTTCTATGAAGAATGTCACTCGATTTTAATAGGAATTTCATTAAATCTGTGTATGCGTTGGTAGTATGGCCATTTTGACAATATTAATTCTCCCTGTCCAAGAGCATGGGGGATCTTTCCATGTTTTAGGTTCTTCTTCAATTTCTTTCTTTAGGGAAATGCAGACTTTAGAAACCAAAGAGCAGACCGGGGTTGTGGCTCAGTGGTAGAATGCTTTCCTAGCACATGTAAGGCACCTGGTTCAATCCTCAGCAACACATAAAAATAAATAAATAAAATAAAGGTATTGTATCTATCTACAAGTTAAAAAGTTAAATAAAAAAGAAGCTAAATACCTCTGTGCTAGACACTAGATGAATCCATGTCCCTATATATCTTACACCAGGACACCTGTGCAACACCCGGGAACAGATACAGAACAGTAGAAACTTCCAAGTTGGGTCATTTGTTACAGGTTGCATCAATCACCAGTAGCTTCCTTTTCATCTGTTTATTAGAAGCTTCTTTGTTAATAAAGTAAAAAAAAAGTGTTCCTTCTTTCTTTTTGCCTCATAATACTCTCTGTATTTCCTCTTTTTGCAAAACTCAAAATTACTGTTTTTAAATGTTTTTGTCAATTACCATAATGTGAAAATATTTTACTTTTTTAAAAAACATAAATTAATTAGTTCAAACACTGTTCTTACCGTAGAAATATATCTAGCAAAATATCTCATTCGTGCAATATTAATGTAGATACTTTGAAATTATTCCTTAAATGACAAATCCATATAGTCTATTATAGAACCAATATATTCCTTATTTAATCTCATTAATCATAGGGCAGATGGGACTCAGAATGCATTAGACAATACACAGTTTACATATTAAAGCTAATTTATGAAATGATAACTCTGAATTGTGTTCCCTTACTGATTACCATATATTATGTCGTCAAATTATTCAGTTGATTTCATATGTTGACCAGATTGTAAATCAATTAAGAATATCCTTTAACAAGTTGGTACAGTATATAGTCCCAGACAGATATTATTTATTGAGCACTTTGTTAAGCAATTTATTTGAAATCTCATTTAATCTGAGAATAACGCTGTAAGATAGGTTCAGATATATATAGTTAAGTAACTTGCTGGAGGGCATACAGGGTTTCAGAGGAGAAGATAGGATTGTGCAACTCCAGTTCACAAGCTGGCACCCCTCTTTACTACTTGATTTAAAATGAAACTTAACTCATCTTGATTCACCCACTGAATGGAGAAAGCAGATCATTTCACACAACTGGAGGAAGAGAGAAACAGACTCAGAGAGGGAGAGGGAGAGAGACTATTGATCAAAATTCTCAAAAATAATTTCTGCCTTTAAACTAAAAGCATTTTTATGAAGTGAAAATTACTCAGAGGTAAATATGGTCACACATCAATTTGGATCTTTTGTAAACATTGATTGTTTCACTGGCTTTACAATATAGCTAAGGGATTGAATTCAGTGAGGAAAATATGCATTTTACAAACTAATAACTTTGCAATTTCTACATTAAAGTGTAAAAGTGAGATTTGATCAGCCTCTGTTTTTTGATTTACAAAACAAATCTGGCTTTTAGCAGAGAAGTTTATTTAAATTTTGGTGTTAATAAGGATTGCATCGTAACTCTCAGTTTCATTATTTTTAGACCATCACCGTTGAAATGTAACAGTTAACAGGAAGTTTAGTAAAGTCATTGAATCAAAGCACTACTTTTAAATCTTTTTAATCAGTTCATTCTATAAACTAGTTCTCAGACATGGTGACTTGAGTTTTCATAAACATCCAAAGTGAGAAAAAGCACCATTCTGGTCTCTGAAGCGGTGTGTGTGTGCATGTGAATGCAGTGTGTATGTATATATGTGACACTATGGCAGTTGTCTTGCACACTATTATTTAAACTTACTTTGGGTTTCAGATCCAGCCTAGTTTCTTTTAACACTAGCCCAGAAGCCCAAAGATATACCTACTTTATTAGTTAGATCCCTGAGGGCCATAGAAGGGATCCCTAGGTTGTCACTTATTCTGAGGTCCTAATTTCACCACCCAGTAGGATGACAAAAGGCTACTTTTTCCTTCTGCTCTTGTACCCATGCCTCCCTCCACATTTCCCCTCTTTTGCAGTGCAGGTGAGCAATCTCTTTTATCACACTGAAATGCCCAAAAGGCTGTGCCCTCAGCGACTCACCATCCTCAAAGAAACTTTTCATGGTATTTTTCTAAATAAAGACAAGTACTTCCCCAAACAAATGTTGTTGCAAACTTTGAATCAATTTTTTAACCCACTATGTATATCATCCCCACTATGTGTATCATCTGCAGACAGTCATGAACATCCTGACACAACTCTAACTGGGCGAGCTACAGATAGTTCACCAATGTTGATATCAATTTAATTATAATAACTAGCTTATTGGTAAGTAAATTGTATTCTCAAAAATGCAGATTATATTAATAATAGATTAATAATATAATCATTTTTATTATTTTGATGATCAAAATTTGTAAAACATTTAGTAGGGGAATAAATAGTTTCATGCTCTATTTTCAAAACGACAAATGCATCTACTAATATTCCTGGTATTTCAAAGTAGTCCAAATCATGAAGTATTTTGGGCACCTTCTCTACACCCTTGAACACCTTTGTCCACTCAGGGAAGGACACTGATGGCAGTTTAAGCATGCTCACAGAGCCCCCGGAGGGTGGTGGATGAACTGAGGAGGGTTGGACAGCTTTCCTGTGAAGGGCCGGGTAGTGTATTTACTGGGCTTTGTGGACCACACAGTCTCTATCACTAATAATGAACTCTCCCTCTGAGGACAAAAGCAAACAAAAGATACACAAATTAATAGACACAGCTGTGTTACAAAGATACTTTATTTACCCAAACAGGCAGTCCAGATTTGCTCTCAAGGTAACCCCGGGCCTTATGGGACTGATTCATAGACCACAGGCACCAAAACCATTTCATCTCTGTTGTATTCACTTAAATGAAATTCCCAGTAAATGTTACTTCCAAAGACAGTTGTTCCAAAGACAAACCCAAAGGGGTTTGTCTCTGCAGTCATGTTTTTATAGAAATTTATAGTCACTGTGGTAGTTGCTTAATTAATGATTAACAGTCACATTTGTATTACTGGTTGGTTCCACGTGTGTAAATAACTAATAAAAAAATCAGAACGAAGTTCATTCTATATATTCTATTCATCAGATGGTGGGTAAAATGAAATCTCATCTGGTTAAAATAGATTGAGAATTTGTTAAAGCCTGGAAGTCATTTTTCTAAAGACAACTACAGTATTTGATCCCCATCTCTGCAGTGCTGATGCCTGTTTAGGCTGCAGGAGCAAAAGGCTTTCATCAGTAGGGGAACAGAGTACTGTACTGTTTCTTTTTCCTTTATGTGAACTATAGAACCATTATTTTAAAAGCATTTTCAAATGATGTCATGACCTGCAATGCTCATGGGCCAATTCTAGAATTAGTCTCATTTTAGAAAACATATATCTAAAAACCTAAAATGATCCACATGTCTGCAATTTTTCTTTTACCTGCCCACCTTAATTACTGCTCCTCTCTGCCCACGGCAGACAGGCCCTCCATGCTCCCTGTATCACCATTTAAGAAAGAATATTCTAGAGGTCTTTTATGATCTTGCTTCCAGAGAAAAACTGACAAAGCTGTCACAGTGACACCATGTTCAAACTGCTTCACATGCTAATTGCCATCAGTCTCCTGCTGGAGTCTCAGGTGTCCTTTTAATGGCAGCTGCTGGTGTGTAGAAGCTGGGTGAATGAGGTCAGCCACAAAGGCATGCTGAGGTACGGGGTAAAACAAAGACCTACCAGACTATTCTGAATAACTTTCACACGTCTTTGGTCTTGGATTCAAGTTGGAAGCTTGGGTCCATCATATTAGAAGTGTATTGAAGCAAGGTAAGAGCCTCAGTTCAACCAGCCCTCTGGAGTTAGTTGTTCTTCATGATGAGACAGAGACAGTCATGTCCCTGTTCTGCTCACCTGTCTTTCACAGCACGCTTCTAGAAGGTTCAAATGGGTGCTTTAGAATTAGGATCAGGCTCTAAGATACACCCCCACACACTGCCTGACTCCTTCCTGCCAGTGCCTTTCACTCCAGAGAGGAAAACACTGTGAGATGAGAACGACTGTTAGCTACCAACTCTTTCCTTGTGTGCCTCTTGCAGGAGTCCTGTGGAACCTCTCGTCATATGATGCACTCAAAATGCCAATCATCCAGGACGCCCTGGAAGTATTGACCAATGTGGTGATTATCCCCCACTCAGGCTGGGAAAATTCACCTCTTCAGGATGATCAGAAAATACAGCTGCATTCATCACAGGTGCTGCGCAATGACACTGGGTGCTTAAGGTCAGTCCCGTGGCACAAGGGCCTGCTCCTTCCATCTTCCCTGGGTCCTCCTGGGTCAGGCACTCTTCCTTGTAGTTTTCGCTGCTGCCTTCCTAAGGGTAGGATTGTTCTGCAAAGATGAGTGTTGATGTGGCAGTACAGTATAAGAAGCTAACCGAAAGTTTTTAATCCTGCACTGAACTGGTATAGGCATCTTCCACTGCCCTGTACCTACACCTGTGTCTGACTTATTTAACATAATTTTTTTCAGTCTAGGGCCCCAAACACATATTTTATCTAACCAAATATAAGTCACTTTAATTGAAAACAATAGTTTTGGGTAATTTGATGTAATATCATGCATGTAGAATAACCAGACAGGCCAGTTGCTTGGGGAGTTAGACAACAGATGTGCAAGGACCTACTTAACTATCACCAGTAGCTGTTTTTGTTTTTGTTTTTCAATTTTCTGTGTGACTGTGCAAGTCTGTGGTTCTTAGAAAGAGCTGTTTCATAACGCCTGTTGTGTTAAATGCTTTTTGAAATAATAGAAGTTGTAAGTATGTGGTAATTCTCTCCCAAAGCATTTTTACAAAATCATCCCCTAGAAATCTATTGAGACTTCTTAGCGCCTCTTTATGCCTTGTTTAATTTTGACTCCTACGAAAGAAAGTAATAATCAAGATTCAGTTATAAACTCTGGAACCTGTGCTCCCAAGGATGTTGCATTTTGTGTCAAAGCTGGAAATCTCCCCAGGATAAGGTTAATCATGGGATGGGGCTCAGGAGGGGGTAATTAAAAGCACCTAGTCAAATAATCTGTATTTCAAGACTAAAATGTACAGAGTTGCTTTCACTGGGCTGGTGCAAAGCTGCTATTTCTCTTAACACTTATTCGGTTTCTAGGTATAAAAACATGTCTCTGCCAAGTAGAAATGAAATCACCTCAGTGACATTAATAATCATCATGTCATGAATATTCAGAATAACACTCTCAGCCTAGTCTTGAGAAGGGCCTCTGTATGAATGTGTATGCAGAATGTGAGATAAAGAGACAGGCTCCATCTGTATCTCCACACATTCACAGCAGTGGGGACCCTCTAACAATTTTGCTTTTCTTCCAGGTCACAAATTCATGAATTTTTGACATGGGTAGTCTCAAAAGTAAGCCAAATTTACAGTTTTCCAAAATACCTCAATTGTGGCATTAATTTTATGACTTCTTCAATTGTTACCCTTCAGAAACCTCTTGCCTCACCAGGAGAAACGTAACTCTTCCAAAGCTCAAGCTGCAGGCACTCCCACCTTTCATGGCTGATCTTTCTAGATCAGTTATTTCCACTTATTACAATTAGTTTTTCCCTCCCTGATGCCACTGACTTACCAAGCCTGTCATGGTTCTTAATGACTTCTCTGTGTCTCAGACTCAATGGAATAAGAGTAGAGAGCTAGATAGTCTATCAGTTGAAATCTGAGTACCACAGGAGCATGATTATGTCTTCTTGATGTTTGACTCAAGGCTTGGGGTGCTGCCATTAAGAGCATACACGTAGTGCTGTGATGAAAAAGTAGCTGAAGAAGCTAGACTGGTGCATGTCAAGGGCCCCCTTTGTAAGCCCTCAGCTAAGGGTGAGGTGAGAACAAGGGTAGGTCAGACTCAGGAGACTCTTCATCCTTCTCTGTTCACTCAGAGCTTTGGCTTTTGCTGCTGGCTAGAAGTGGTAGCAACTCAGGAAGCACGAGAAGAGAGCATTTGGTTTGGAAAGAGTTTGTTGTAGCCAGAGCAGGTTTCCTTAGCCAAGATGCAATCAGGGCTTGTGATTTCCCATGTTTCTTGGTTTATCAGGTGAGTGACAAACCAAAACTCATCAAAATCAGTGAAACTTTAACTTCTCCCTTAATTCATTAAACTTCCATCCTCCTACAAAAAGCAGTATGATTTCGCCTCTCTTATTTGTCTTTGTTTTTTGTCGTCATTGTGTGTTTGGGTACAGGGGATTGAACCCAAGGTGCTTACCCACTGAGCTACATCCACAGACCTATTTTTATATTTTATTTAGAGACAGAGTCTTGATGAGTTGCTTAGGGGCTCTCTCAGTTGCTGAGGCTGGCTTTGAACCTAGATCCTCCTGCCTCAGCCTCCTGAGCCACTGGAATCACAGGTGTGCACCACCATGACCTGGGCTCCTCTCTTGTTTGAATGTGTTTATGAATCATATCACTTTGATGATCAGGTTTGACTGGGAGAGGAAGAAAGCAGCCCTGGAGGAGGCCAAAATTAAGTTATCAAAGTTTGAATGGATACAAGCTTTCAAGGAATTTGTTTTTCCATTTATTGAAAATAATGTTGACAATATACCCAAATGGGTGCAAATGCCTACATCATGATAGAAGATTTTAGGTTTTAGTATGAGTTTATTTACATTCTTGCTTTTTCTAGAAACTCCTAGATCTTTATTCACATTAAAAAAAAAAATCTTCCTAGGCTGCTTTTTCTTAGAGTAGTTTTATCTTGTAAGCATTTACCGAACACTTAGTGTGTGCCTTGGGGAACCAGACAGGAGACAAGAGATCAACACAGCAGCTCCTGCACTTTGGAAACTCGTGCCTAGTGGAAGAAAGGGCCATCCATACAGTTAGCCCTAAGGTGGTGTCCTACTCTCAGGCTGACGCCACGGTTAGGGTAGAACAGGAGGAAAACTGCCACAGGAGTCACAAACTCAGCCAGGTGTGGTCAAAAATGACCTCAAGGATCAGGTGATATTGGGCCAGGCATGGAGAAGACTGCCTCAATGGGTGCAAGGGAAAGCATCATGGCCAGAAAGAGCAGCTGGCATGGTCTGGTACAGCCCTGGGAGAAGTCCAGGAATTCCAAAGTGCATTGTCCTTAGAGACTAGACTCTTAAGTCAACCTTCAACAATTATTATTATTTATAGAATCTCTGTCTTCCAAGGACCTGAAAGTTTTGATCCAAATATAGTCAAGCCACCTACTAGGTGGCCTCTACTTGGCCAACATCCCTCTTGCCTTAAAAGGCCAATTTCTTTCTTCCTCTCTCCAATTCCTTCCATTCCATTTCCCTCTGCTAAGGCCTTGCTGTGGTCTGGATTGACTTGTCCCCCTGAGTTGCTGTGCTTGGTCCTCAGTATGTTGAGGAGGAGAGATGGTGGGGCCTTTCAGAGATGGGGTCTGGTGGGAAGGGATTGATGTGGTGGGGAGGACCTGGTTAGTTCCTTTGAGACAGATTGTTGTTAAAAGACTGATCCTGGTCCATGAATCTCTGTGGCTTCTCGTTTTGCCACATGATCTCTTCCATACAAATTCCTGCCTTTGTAGTATCACTGCCAGGAGGCCCTGACCAGAGCTGAACAGATGGGACTGGCCAGTCCTGGACTTGCAGTCTCCAAAACTCTGACCTAAATGACCCCACCCCCCTTTTTAAATAAAGTACCCAGAATCAATTCTTTTTTGTAATAACAGAAAACAGAATAAGACAGAATTTATGTATAGAGTGGCAAGTAGCTTGGACAGAGTCTCTTAGCCCAATCTTGAATATTCATTTAGACAGTTATAGTTGCCTTTTCTTTTCTTTAAAGTTTGTTCTTAAGGAATATCCTAGACAATGACATTGACATGATTTTTTCAGTACTCAGACTCCTCCATCATTGGATAAAGTTAAGATAAGTTGATATTTTGGGCTTGTTTCCATTAACTATATATTCAGGAATGGATAAAAAATGAAATATAAAAGAAAATAGAACTCTTCCCAGGATAGTACTTACTAAGCCAGTGTAGCTTACCAGTACAGTAGGAGCATATGGTATAGAATATCTATCACTTCACTATTAGAAATCATTACTCTTGATTTTTGTTCCTAAAGAATTCATACATGTTATGTCATCTTGGGTGAGAAGCCAAGGTTAAAGATTTAAGCAGTTGCTATAAAGAGATCACATTTTTATTGTTTTTCAGAAAGAAAATACAGTTTTATGAATGCAAATTTCACTGCTCCTAAATGTCCAAAAAATGCTTAGCAAAGGGAAATCTGAGTGAGAGAGATAAGTCTGTGCCTCTCTCATATGGAGCTGAGAGGCTGATGTCATCCTGCCTTTATGAGCTCCAATCTCAGGAGACTGTGCCCACTGTCTTGTGCTGTCTCTTGATCAGTGGGTGTGGGCCACCATCTGTGGCAGTGGCTCCAGACCCTGCCTGGGGAAGGAGCCAGCTTCAGGGTACCTTCTAGAGAGAGGAACCACTTGCCTCCGCCTTCCCTAAAAGGCAGGAAACACCTTCATGGAAAAGTCCTGGCATGTTGACACAGCAAAAACTTAAGCACATAGCAAATATAATATGAAAAGTGGATGCCCTTAGTCCTTTTCCATTTAAAATTCATTTTGGATTAGGAAATGGATTTTTTCTCAAGCAGATCTATCTATTTGTTCCTGAAGTATCTATCTGTCACTGAGGAAAGATGACAGAAATGAAAAAAAATCTCTTACATGTTGTTGGAGAAGCAGAGTGATGAGAGTGATGGTGGCCGGCTTGTGGGAGGGAATGGGTTAATGTTGTGAGATCAGGAGCAGGACAGGAAAGGCTTCATTCCCTACTGTGCCCCAACTCATGCTCACCTTCCTCATTTCTTCCCCTTCTCTCATTGTGTCTTTTGCTCCAATTCTGCCTGATTCAAGCTTTAATGTCTGATATTTTAAAATATGGTTCAGCCTGGTATAGTGATGCATGCCTGCAATCCCAGCAGCTTGTGAGGGTGAGGCAAGAGGATTGCAAGTTCAAACCCAGCCTCAGTAACAGTGAGGCACTAAGCAACTCAATGAGACCCTGTCTCTAAGTAAAATACAAAATAGGCCTGGAGATGTGTCTCAGTGGTTGACTGTCTCTGGTACCCACCCCACCAAAATAAAAATAAAAATATGGTTCGAAATAAATATAACAAATAGTTAAAAAGACTGAAGACATGTATATGAAGGATATTGCTGATCTTTTCTTCTTCATTTTATGATTA